TATTTTATTTATCATTTAGTGATTTTAAAAAGAGTTGAAAAAGGAGGAAAGAAGAAGAGGGGAAACGACAAAGGGAAGAGAGATGGGTTGTTGCCCAATCGCACGAGAGGAAGAGAGGAACTGACCAACGAAGGAGAAGGGAAAGGAGGGAAAGGAGGGAAGATGTGAAGGAGGGGGGAGGTCGGGTCTTCTTCTTGACCCGCGCGACCCGGCCAAGCTTCAAGGCCAAATTCGGTCATTTTCCTGCCAATTTTCGGTGAATTGTCTTGAACCACTACCTGAAAACACCACCCTAGCTCTCCCTCTTCCATCTCCATCCAAAATTTGAAGAAATTTGGTTGAAGTTTGGTGGAAAAACCACCATGGGTGCCGCGGGAAGGATTGCTCGAGATCCACCAAACCTGAAACAATTTCATTCAATTACCACTACCAAAACACTCCCTTAGAACCCAGGAACAAAGCCCAAGCAGTGGTGGAGGCGTCGACGAAAGTTTGGAGGTCGAATCGAATCACACCAAATTCTAGGGTTTCATACGGTTTTAGCAAACTTGGAGCCTTTCTAGACCAAATGGAACTTGGCAACAGGTATAAAGTTTATTCTACTCTTTGAGATCTTCAATTCTATAATTTTTGAGAATTTTTAAAAATAGTTGAATTTTCCGGCGAGTCGGAGCGGCCGACCGCCCCCCGTGACGGCGCGTGTGGTGGCACGTGGCCTGTGGGCCAATGATGTTTATTTAAGTGCTATTAGATGCCTTGGGTGCATAATTGATATCCGTATGACATAATTTCATTATTTGTGCTTAGTTTCATTTCGACACGTGAATAGGTCAAAATATGAATCGACGATCCGACCATTCGATCGTCACCAAACTTTAATACATTATAGTACATAATTTTTTAGGATTATAGGAACTTACGGATCGGGAATCTGATGTACGGATCTTCCCGAATTGGATTTGTAAGTTTATAAAATAAATGTTAACCGTCACTTAGTTTTGGGCAATTGACGGAGATCCGACCGTTGGATCGTAATGAAATTTTAGTATGTTATTCTAAAAGTATAATGTGAATCTTTGGAGGTTATGGATTAGGAATCTGAGTTGTGGATCTTCTGGATTGAGTTTTGTAGGGTTGTGGACCCAATCGTCGATCTTCGATCGACAGTTTATTGGTGGTCAATGGGTCTTAAACTATTTTAGAATGTCCTTGAGGATGTGCTTTATGTGAATTACGTATTCTATTGATAAGAGTTCTGAGATGTGATTCTATAATTGGTCACAGACGCCAATCGTTTGGGACCCCTTAATGTGCGTGCTAGGGAACCATAGCGTGGACTCCAGGTGAGTGAGTCTTTTCCTTTCCATCGTATATTATATATATATATATGTGTGTGTGTGTGATTGATAATTCCATAAATGTATATAATTGATTATGGCTTACGATTAATATGAATGCTTTGAAATAATTATTGTGAACTACGAATGGCTTGATCCCTGTTTAGGGTACGTAGGCAGTCTAACGAGACGTTAGATGCAGCCATATAAGAAATGAGATTAAATAATCGAGACAATAGCCTTGTTTAAGGAATTGAGCAATGTGAGGGATATTGTGAAAATGTGCGTTTTAACTTTATGTTTTGGTGATTAATAGTTAGTACATCGTATTATATAATTGGAAATATTATGAAATGTTTTAATTTTAGATTTTATCATGGCATATCCATATGTATATTCCTTGCACATAATTATTGTGAACGCTCTGAAGTGCAAAGGTGAATGCAGGACACACAAGTAAGTTCAGGTAAGTTTAGATAAGTTCAAGTAAGTATACGGTATTAGGTGAATTGATGGGGTTATGATATGACTACATTTACGTTTTAGGCAACTCCGACACTGTTGTACAGGTTGCAATAGTAGGCAACTCCGGCATTGTCGTACAGGTTGCCTATGAGTCATATATGTTGTATTAGATGCATTTAAAGCTCATAAACCTGCACTCCGGTGTTAGTGCTCCTGCTCGTGGCCAAGGCACAGTCTTTCACGTGATGTTCACTTCCCGCACCATACGCTCACCTTGAATCCAAGTTAGGTGCATAGGCCTGTCGTACAGACCACTATAGGTGGTTCCGACTCATAGGTGACCCGCGATCACTCGCACAGCTTTCACGTGATTGTAGCCCTAGAGGGTACACATTCACACCCAGGCCTGTTGTACAGACCACTACATGTGGTTCCGACTTGTGTGCAGATGTAGTGCCATACATGCCACTAGAAGTGACTCTGGCTTATGTGCTAGCAATGATTGATGAGTTATGATTTCAGTCGTACAGGTCACTAGAGGTGACTCCGACTTATATGCTAGCCACGATTGATGAGATCTGTAATGAGATATGGATAAGTCATACAGGTCATTATAGGTGACTCTGACTTATGAGCTAGCATATGTAATGAATACGTGACGAGCTAGCATATGTGATGAAAATGTGATGAGCTAACATATGTAATGAATACGTGACGAGCTAGCATATGTGATGAATATGTTATGAGCTAGCATAAGTGATGAATATGTGATGAGCTAACATATGTGATGAAATATGTGATGAACTAGTATATGTGATGAGATATGGATAAGTCGTACAGGTCATTATAGGTGACTCCAACTTATGAGCTAGCATATGTAATGAACACGTGACGAGCTAGCATATGTGATGAAAATGTGATGAGTTAGCATATGTAATGAATACGTGATGAGCTAGCATATGTGATGAATATGTTATGAGCTAGCATATGTGATGAATAGGTGATGAGTTAACATATGTGATGAAATATGTGATGAACTAGTATATGTGATGAGATATGGGTAAGTTGTACAGGTCACCCTAGGTGACTCCGACTTGCGTACTAGTGTGAGTTATTAATCGCATGATTATTTGATATTATTGATAAGATGCTGTGTTGTGGTATATTATGATTTTTTTTCTTCTGGAAATTATACAGGTGTTGTAGCGAGGGGTTATAATGTTTATATGGTTTCTATTAAAATCTTACTTACAAGGCTACTCACCCTTGTCTTGTCTTCACCCTCCAGGTTTTATTAGCTGAGCTTTCTTATCGTCGAAGATTCGTAGCGATTCTTAGTATCGGAGACTACTTCGAGGGTACGATTCTTAATTCACTCTTCTGTACTTGCTTATGCTCTAACGTCACGTTTGAAATGGGTTCATTCCCGCTCAACGGTGCACTCTGGTATTTAGGCACTCTTAGGTTTAAATTTATTCATATTTTTCCACATCATCACACTTTATGGCTACGTCACCTTCCAGGTGTTGGCCAACACAGTGTGATTTGGAGTCCTAGTGGACATTTTGGTCGGGGTGCGTCAACCATAATATCTTGCAATCAATTAGGAAATTAATTAAAAAATAAATTAATTAATTAGAAAATCAATTAATTAATTTAGGTAATTAATCCTATTTTGAATGAATATTTGGAGGTTATGTTGTAGGGAGGATTTGATGAGGATGGATGAAATATGTTTGGAATAAATACCTATTTTGATCACTTTTGACCTTGATTGAGTTATGATGGTCTGCTGCTCACACGTAGGAGTTCCGATGTGCCTCGAGGGTAATCTTATATTTTTAACCCAAAAATCCATGTGTCGCCTCCATATTTTTTTTGATTATTTTTTGCTCCACATTCATGTGCAAGTGTCTCAGTGAAATCTTTATTATATTTTCTTTATTATATTTTTGGTAACGATATCAAAATCTTCCATCCTTCTGCGTTTTGCTAAACTAAGCAAAATTTGGTAAGGGTTCTCCATAAGTAATGTGCCATTTAGGTGTGCCCAAATTTGATGTCAAATATCATATGGCGTGAAGAATAGTTATCAGTCCCGACATTTCAGGTTCAATTGGGAGACTTTTGGGGTGCCGAAACCCTAAACCTTCCGCCATTTCTTAGTATTTATTACATTCGTTATATAGATAAATATGACATAATCTTGTATCTGCAGTTTCTTTTCTCTGAGAAGAAACTCAATGTTAATAGTTATTTTATTTCTTTCGTTATGTGACTTATAGACTGCCGTATACAATCGAGAATAAATTTATCTGTATGACACTAAAGAATGGTTAGAAACGCAAATATTAGAGACCTTCACCGATGTTAATTTTTTCCTTAACATTCTTCTCCAATTCCTCTATACAACTCTAACTTCCTGGTTATGTGGATTTCTTTGGAAGCATCGAGAGGTGTGATGCAATTGATTATGTGACCTAAGGTACCGTTTGGTACGTGGGACGGGACGAAACAGAGTGGAACGAGGCGTTCCGTCCCACGTTTGGTGTGCCTAAAACGGGTGGAACGCGCTGTTCCACATGACGAGTTTTGGGTGAATTTTTGTTCCGCCTCACCCCCCTGGAACGATTCGTTCCACATCCGTGGAACACAAAATTATAACCTATCCGTCTCCTTCTTCCTCCTTATTTCCATCTGAGGGCATCTTTGCTCCTTCTCCGTTCCGTCTCGTCCTGTCCCGTCCCATCCCATTCCGTTTCATCCCATCTCGTCTGCATACCAAACGATACCTAAGAGCAAGTCCACCCATTGTAAAAAGGTAAGGACAAGAGCTTGGAAATTTGCCCTTCAACCTGAAATTGCATTTCTAGCCGACCAAATTGAAGAGGCCAATTTTTGGGTCATGCAAAGCCTGCCCACATGCCAGAGCAATTTAAGTCCCGCCTTGCACCAACATGCATTCTCCCTTTCTGTGTTTGAACATGTAAAACATGCACATCCTGAACGAGTGGACCGACAACTTTTGATATCTTTTTGGCAAAATTACATGTACGTAATTGTGCACATTACAAAAATACTTACTCGATTTTCTTTTGCTTTAAAACCCTAATATGCTTCGTTCTTTTAAGAAAAAACACCAAATACCAAATTCCATGCCAAATGTCTAATTATCCTAAGTTTCCACGTGGCATGAAGATTAGTAATTGGACTCTGGCAAGAGACACTCACCCGGATGCTCAAACGGGCCAAGGAAGCTGAGAAAACGAGCTATGGAATTGTTGTGAACAGTTTCTATGAGCTCGAATCGGTTTATGCAGATTATTACAGAAACGTGCTTGGGATGAAAGCTTGGCATATTTGCCCTGTTTCTCTATGCAATAGAAACAATGAAGAAAAAGCACTTAGAGGAAAAACAGCTTCTATCAACGAGCACGATTTCTTGAAGTGGCTTGATTCAAAAGAACCTAATTCGGTTGTTTATGTGTGTTTTGGAAGCATGGCTAAATTCAATGCCTCTCAGCTTATGGAGATTGCAATGGGGCTTGAGGCTTCTGGGAAGGACTTCATTTGGGTTGTGAGGATCGGACAAGATTATGACGTGGAGAAAGAGGATTGGCTGCCAGAAGGGTTTGAGGATCGGATGGAAGGGAAAGGACTAATCATGAGAGGGTGGGCCCCGCAGGTTCTGATTCTTGATCATGGGGCAGTTGGCGGGTTTGTGACTCACTGTGGGTGGAACTGGACGTTGGAAGGGATCGCTGCCGGGTTGCCGATGGTGACGTGGCCGGTGTCGGCGGAGCAGTTTTACAACGAGAAGCTGGTGACCCAAGTGCTGAAAATTGGTGCTGGTGTTGGTGCTCAGAAATGGGTTAGGGTTGTGGGGGATAGCGTGAAAAAGGAAGCTGTTGAGAAAGCTGTGAGGAGGATTATGGTGGGTGAGGAAGCACAGGAAATGAGAAGCAGAGCTAGGGAACTTGCAGAGCAAGCAAAGAGGGCTATTGAGAAAGGAGGATCATCACACTCTGATTTAAATGCTCTAATTGAAGAGTTGAGTTCCCAGTAGTTGGAGTTGGAGCACACATTCAGATGGACTTCGCTTTCTGAATATTTCAGATTCATAAAAGAATGATCAATGTTGACAGTGACTAAAAGTTTAGTTGTTTTTCTTTCGACCCAGATTAGACTTTCATGGTGCATTTTATTTATCTTAAGGGTCGTATATTTGCCCAACCAATGAAATAATTCTAAGATCATCTTCAACTCTTGGGTTAAAACTTTAAATTTCTAACCTAGAAAATTTAGGTTTTAAACCAGAAACAGTTTTTCTACTCCAACCATTATAGGTTAAATTTTTAGCTCGAGATTATTAAATAATGAATTTAGGATAATTTTTTTCTTAAAGTAAATTTCAAAAAAAAAAAATTATGTAGACTATTATAATTTAATTTTATGAACATTTAAACCTAAATACTGAAAAATTACTAAACCGACACCATCAAACTTGTGGAACACTATCAAAGAATATGAAACACATCAAAGAATATTTTTTTTTAAATTGTTTTAGAAGTTGGATTTAAATTTGGACCATTAGATTTTATTTTACCATTGGATTTGATCATATTAGATCTTAACCGTTGAATTCAATGAATTTATTGTTAGGAATGTCGGTACTACAAGATAGAGAATGCACAAGGTAAAGTAGAAAATGGACACCAAGAATTTATGTGGTTCGGCAATTTATGCCTACGTCCACGAAACAATGATCAATATTCACTATATGAAAAAGATGAGTACAACAAGACTAGTCTTACCAAGCCAAAGACAAGGCTTGATGGATACAAGAAAGTATGACACACTTTCTATCACTCTAAACTTCACTCATAATGTGTAGTGGAACACTCTCACTCTCACTCTTGGAGTGGAACTTTAGCTTTGGACTTGATCCTAGAAAGGCCTACAAGTTTTGGCAAAGAAGTCTCACGTTCCCTTTGCCAAAGGTACGTCATTGAACTCTTGTGAGCACTGTTTATTCGGAAAACAAAGAAGAATTAGTTTTTCTGTTCCATCTACAAAGAAAGGAAATTTGTTAGATCTTTTTTATTCAGATGTGTGTGGTCCCATGGAAGTTGAGTCACTTGGAAGAAATAAATATTTTGCTACTTATATTGATGATGCTTCACGAAAGGTCTGGGTGTTGTTGTTGAAATCCAAAGACTAGGTGTTTCAGACATTCCAGGAGTTCTATGCCATGGTGGAGAGGGAAACCGGGAAACCTCTCAAGTGCCTTTGTAGCGACAACGACGGCGAGTACACATCTCACCAGTTTAGAGAGTATTGTGTGAAACATGGCATATAACATGAGAAGACAGTTTCTGAAACTCCACAACATAACGGTGTTGCTGAAAGAATGAATCGAACCATCATGGAGAAAGTCAGGCGTATGCTGAGGACTACAAGTTATCTAAGCAGTTCTGGGGTGAAGCTGTGAGGACAGCCTGTTATTTGATTAACCGATCTCCATCAGTACCATTAGGTCTTAATGTTCCAGAGAGAGTATGGACTGGTAATGATATGTCCTACTCTTATTTGAAGGTGTTTGGTTGCAAAGCTTTTGTGCATGTGCCCAAAGAGCAGAGATTGAAGTTAGACTACAAAGCTACACCGTGCATCTTTCTTGGTTATGGCAGTGAAGATTTTGGTTACAGATTATGGGACCCATACCAAAAGAAGTTTATCCAAAGTAGAGACGTGTACTTTTATGAAGATCAAACAATTCGGGATTCGGATAAAGAGGCACAACCAGATGGCGCAATCAGAGGAGTTGATCCATTAGCTTCAGATGAAGAAAGTCATGATGACATCCCTGAAGCAGCTGCCAATAAAGTGCGTGCAGAACCAGATAATGTTGATCAGGGGGAGCCTGATCAAGATGTGTCAGACCATGAGATTGCTGATCAGGGGAAGCCTAGTCAAGAAGAGCAGATTCAACGAGAACCCAATCAGGTGGAGCCTCCAGTCTCGTAAGAGAATGAAGATCAGGTCAGAGGATCCAGCAAAAGTCGAAGACCGTCTACCAAGTATTCTTCATTAGAGTATGTCATGTTGACTAATTATGGAGAGCCTGAAACTTATGAGGAGGCCAGAGCTCATAACGACAGTGACAAATGGATGAAGACAATGGAGTCAAAGATGGATTCCTTATTAAAGAATGATATCTATGAGCTAGTTGAGCTTCCAAAGGGCAGAAAAGCATTGAAAAACAAGTGGGTGTTCAAATTGAAAAGGGACGACAACATGACAAGGTACAAGGCTCGTTTGGTTGTCAAAGGTTTTGGTCAAAAGAAATGAGTTGACTTTGATGAGATTTTCTCACCGGTGGTGAAGATGACTTCCATTTGAGTTATCCTTGTATGGCAGCAAGCATGGATCTTGAGCTCGAGCAGTTAGACGTTAAAACTGCATTTCTCCATGGCAATTTAGAATAGGAGATATACAGGGAGCAACCCAAAGGCTTTGAAGTCAAAGGTAAAGAAAGACAGTGGAATAAGAAGTTCAACTCATTCATGGTGAGTAATGGGTACAAGAGAACTCATGCTGACTCTTGTGTCTATATCAAACAATTTTCTGGAGGTGAATTCATCATTTTATTGCTTTATGTTAATGACATGTTGATTGTCGGTCAAGATGCTTCTATGATTAAAAAGCTCAAAGAAGAGTTATCTAAGTCCTTTGACATGAAGGACTTAGGGCCAGCCAAGCAGATTTTAGGTATGGAGATAATTCATGACAGAAAATCCAAGAAGTTGTGGCTGTCACAAGAAAAGTATGTTGAACGGGTGCTTGAAAAGTTCAACATGAAAGCAACCAAACCGGTAGGCTCACCTTTAGCCAATCATATCAAGTTGAGTAAAGAGTCGTGTCCAAAACATATGAAGAAAAGGAGAAAATGGCAGTTGTTCCCTACTCTTCAGCAGTAGGAAGTATCATGTATGTAATGGTGTGCACACAGCCAGATATTGCTCATGCAGTAGGTGTGATGAGCAGGTTTCTCTCTAATCCAGGGAAAGACGATTGGAAAACTGTTAAGTGGATTCTCATATATTTGAAGGGGACTTCTAAGATGTGCTTGTGCTTTGGCGGTTCCAAACCAATCTTGGAAGGATTTACAGATGCTGACATGGGAGGTGACCTAGATGGTAGAAAATCTACGTCTGGGTACTTGTTTACTTTTGCAGGGGGAGCCGTGTATTGGCAATCCAAGTTGCAAAAGTGTGTTGCTTTGTCCACAACCAAGGCTGAAACATAGCTGCTACAGAAGCATGCAAAGAGCTGTTGTGGCTAAAGAGGTTTCTCCAAGAGTTGGGTTTGAAGCATAGTGATTATGGCGTTTATTGTGTTAGTTAGAGTGCTCTGGATTTGAGCAAGAATACTACATATCATTCACATACCAAGCACATTGATATTCATTATCACTAGATTAGAGACGCTATCGAGAGCAAGTTGCTACAACTGAAGAAGATTCATACCGATAATAATTCTTCAGACATGTTGACAAAGGTAGTCACAAAATCAAAGTTGGAATTTTGCATTAAGGTTGCTGGGATGGACTCGAGGTAACTTAGAGTCATGATCGAAATTCTTCCCTCATAAACTGGAGGGGGAGATTGTTGGTATATGGTCCAACCCATGATGAATGTTCTAGATTATTCTAGTAAGCAAGTGAGGTGGCTGGAGCATGCTAGACAATTCTAGCATGTTATTAAGTTGATGGAAGAAGCTAGAGAGTACTAGCTTCCTTGGTTGCAAATGGAAAGATCTAGAAGCTACAATTTTGTGGCTAGTCTAGAATTATCTATGCTAGAGGTTTGAAGAATACACTAGAAACTAGTAGAATGCCAAACCCTCACCTATAAATATAGCTGTGATGTTGTAGTGAAGTAACCAATTAAGAACCAAGTGTGAGTAGCGAATGATCAAGTCCAAAGCTAGAGTTCCACTCCAAGAGTGACAGTGAGAGTAGTAGTGAAGTTTAGAGTGATAGAAAGTGTGTGTCATACTTTCTTGTATCCATCAAGCCTTGTCTTTGGCTTGGTAAGACTACTCTTGTTGTACTCATCTTTTTCATATAGTGAAGATTGATCATTGATTCGTGGACGTAGGCATAAATTGCCAAACCACATAAATTCTTGGTGTCCATTTTCTACTTTACCTTGTGCATTCTACTAGTTTCTAGTGTATTCTTCAAACCTCTAGCATAGATAATTCTAGACTAGCCATAAAATTGTAGCTTCTAGATCTTTCCATTTGCAACCAAGGAAGCTAGTACTCTCTAGCTTCTTCCATCAACTTAATAACATGCTAGAATTGTCTAGCATGCTCCAGCCTCCTCACTTGCTTACAAGAATAATCTAGAACATTTATCATGGGCTGGACCATATACCAACATTTATAAATATAAAATTAAAAAAAATACACATGGTGTGCCAGCCACAAACCCAGGTAGAATGCTGGCCTAAATTTGCCCAAAAAAATGCGTTTTGAGTTAAAACTCATATTTGACCCAAGGGTTAAAGCAAGTTTGGGTAAGTTTAAAACCTAAAATTTGAGTTTACTCCAAATGTTGGAGTAGGTCTAAGGGTCCTATTTTCTTTAACTCTCCTTTATTGACTCGTGAGTGTCATACTGAGCTAGATATAATGAAATATATATCTGATTACATAGATAAATCTTCTTATAATATAATTTACAAGTAGTTCGATATAAATTCCTAAACACGGCATTGGTTGGATTTCACAAGAGAGAACTTTAGATTATAAATTTTTGTCTCTTTCTTTGTAAGGACATTTCTAAGGTGCGGACTTTGCATTCGAACCTTGTGTGTGGACCAGAATCCAACTATCGTGATTTGCTAAGCTCATGGTAGAACCGGGCTGTTGTGTCCCAGTGTAATTAAAAACTTTTAATTTTTTTAATTCACTAGATATGTTTTTTTTTTTGGAGAGAAAGAAGGCGGCATAGAACTGAGGGATTATTCACACGTTAAAGAGGGAAAGAGAGGCAGAAAGAGGAATCTAGGGTAAGTAATTGACTTCACAGGGTGTATTTTTGTCGACAAGAGAGAGG